CAGCAAAATTTGTGAAATATTGTTGCTGAATCAGGGCAGTGGTAGAAAGACAGTTTGCTGTCTCCTAGCAAAGATGTATGAATATAATATTAGAGAACTCAAAACCATGACAGTTTCTGAGGAAGGCGAGTCAGTAATTCTTTGAGGTCTGTCAAGAGAATCTCTGTAGAACTTTTCTGATTCTTCTCTGGGTCTGTATACGTACGTACACCTCTGTGTGTGCGTGTCCCCGATTGCATGTGCATGTGTGTATGTGTACGCACATGCACGTGCAAACACAAAATGAATTCCAGTATGCACACACCATGCAATATGAAAATAACCAATCTGTAATTATATACATAATGGTTATAGTTTATTTAGATATACAGAAACTTCAGCTGGTTCTTTTTCATTTTGTCAATATATATATTTTTCCTTGGTTTCCTGCCACTTTATGACTAGCATTATGACCACCATATTTAGCTCGATCAGCCTGGCAATTTGAAGTAGCACAGAATTACAATGTCTACAGAAATGGGCTGGCTTTGCTATACTCCAATTGCTCTTTGCATAGACTGGTGGCATTTTTCATCTTCATCACTGTGTTCTCAGGAGAATGTTGTGAATTGTGACAGCCCATGAAAGTGGCTCTAGTAGGTATCCCTGTAATTTTTGATTATTTTTTTTCTGACAAAAGTGCTCTTTTTGATGGAAAAAAAGACAGGGCTCCTATGGTAGTCCCCTTTCTTGGTATAGCCATTGATCTGTTTTCTAATTTAAAGTGTGTGCGTGCGAAAAAAACTAAAATGTTTGGACTCAAATCAGTGACTAGAAATTAGGTTTCGACCCTGCAAACATTTCATACCTACAAAGCACCTTGGGGTGTGGACACACACACTAACTTTCTAACAGTTAAGCTGACTTAACTCCTTTAAGTTGACTTAACTGTCAGAGCATATGCGCATATGTGGAGCAGAGTTCACTTAAATGCAGTGCAAGATACTATACCATGTATTATCTTGATTCACATTAGTTAAGTCAACTTATCTCACAAGATGGCTGCCACCGTGTCAAGGAGCTGTATGTGTGTATGCTCCGATGAGACTTAAGTGACTTAGTACGTGTTTATATACCCCTTGAGCTCAGGAGACTGGTTATGTGCAGGGGTGTGTCCAGGGGCGGTGAGGTGGTGCAATTGCATCCCCCTTCTGCCACTGTCTCTGGCTGATCTGGACACAGAGCCCCAGAGCTGTTTCTGCCCTGCTCAAGCCATGAATGGGCTAAGCCAGGGACGTTGGTGGTGGCACAAAGGGCGTCTTTACATGTGCTCCAGGTTGGGGGTGGGAGTGTTTTAGTTAGAGCAGCTCTTGGTAGCCACTCTAATTAAAATGCTCACAGCATCTTGTATATTCATCATCCTGTGCTTCAAAATGGCAGCAGGGAGTGGGGGTAGGCTTTAACTAAAGCTCATTCTACAATCTTTAGTTAAAGCACCCCCACCACCATTTTGAAACATGGGGACTCTGAATACATGCGACACTGAGCCTGATGGAGTGTTCTAATTAGCACACTCCAGCAGACTCAGTTAATCAAGTCTGTTCTGATGCATTTTAATTAAAAAGTGTTTGAGCAGGTGTCAGGCACGTGTATAGGTGCCCAAAGGTTCCTCCTTCCACTGCCTGCTTCTGGCCAGCAAGAGACATCAGTGGTGGTGGGGACAAAGCAGGGGCTGGAAAGAGGAAACTGTACCTCTGCTGCTGTCCCCAGCTGAACCCAGCACCCCACACTCTTGCTCTCCACAGCATCCAACTGGAGCAGGGCAAGAGCAGCTCTGAGGTTCCCACTGCCTTCAGGTCAGCCAGGGACAGTGACAGTGGTGTTGGCTTTAGTGGGGGAGGATGGCTTCCCAGTGTGCCCCACCAAACCAAGGAATCCAGCCATGCCTTGCTCCATCCCTGAGGGGAGGTATGTCACACCCGATTTGTGTAAATCCTGGCTCTGTGCATGGTACTGTGCATAAGGCTCTTTGCAGGATAGGAGGCTAAGTTAGTTGAAAAGTTCTACCATTGATATCTGTAATGAAAGGCCCATGGTAAGGAAATTGGGGTGATACCAAAAAATACTTGAGATCACTTTTTAATTACTGTGCAGACCTTCTCAAGACATGCATTATTCATGGTGGAAGAAGCCAAACCAAATGAGCAAAATTCTGCTCCCTGAATATTCCTCTCCCTTAGTGACTGCATGTCTTACTGGATCCAAACCAGCCTCAGGATACCATAGCATATCTTACACATCTTAACCTACAGGCATTCTTAAATATTTGTTACAAATTAGAGTTAAAAAGAATGCAGGGGGAAAGGGGGAGGAGAATGGAAATATTCTCCCTTGCAAAGGGTTCTGCCAAGACATACTTCAAAGGGAATGCAGTGTAATATGATTTAAACTAAACATAGACTGTGAATTCCAGCCTTTTTATACTCCTGTTGCTGCTGAAAAAAATCCATCATGTTTAATAGAACATTATATAGAAGTGAGTACAGATATCTTTGCTTCTGGTTGTGTAACAATGACTTAG